AAGCTGTTAATTCCTAATGAACAATCATAGCTAATAAAATTTACTTGGGTCAATGCTGTTGACGCCAATAAGTGACAACCATCATAGCTAGTCGCAGTTGCCGGAGCTCATTATTGGGTAAAACACTAACAATGCAATAAGAACAAAAAAGGGAGGTCTTAACCTTACAAAAGAGGAAGAATGATCGTACAGGCATTTCGTTCGACACCTTCTGGGCATACATTTCCCCTGTTTCCAGAAAACGCACCGTTTTGGAAGAGCTCCACCGTCGCGCCACGTGTATGGTGAATATTCTATGAAACTCTCCCACCATTTTCTACAGGACTACGTGCGTGGATAAGGTCCGATCCACAGATATCGTACCGGTTCGAAAGTGAAAGAGGGCACAAACAAGTTCAGAGGAAACACAGCAAGAGGAAGGAGAACATGGTGTCGAAAATGGAGGTGGGTATGTCTCTGAATGCGATGGTGAGGCTTCCACTGTCGAGTTCGAGGGCGCATGAAGATGGGTATGGGTTGGCGAAGCACTTGTTTTTCAGTCCCAAAACAACTCAGCAAACGCCGCAGCGACGGATGCTGGTGGTGAAAGCTAAGGGGAAAAAGGGTACGGAAGCTCGCCGGTTTCAAAGGCCTCCGGGACCTGTCTTGCCCAAGATTGAAGACGATGGCAACCCTCGCTTCGTCGTCTTCATCCGCATGGCCAATGTTTGTGTCTTCTCTTTCTCTCGTTTTTTCCATTAATGGCTGAAATTTGTTTCCTTTTTCAGAATCTTTTATGGATGTTGCTTACTTTAGATGCTAATTCACGTCCTCACGTTAGAATTCTGTTGAAATATTTGTATTTGTTTCTATTTCTGTTTAGAAAGGAGAAAAAATGGGAAAGATGTATAGTTTTTCACCTGTTTGTCTTAGATGTAATTTGATTTGGAGTTATCAAAAAATTGTGATGGAATTGTTGAATGTCTGTTGAGTCTTATAAAAATATAAGTCTCTCTACTTGCGCAGGTTTATCTTTGGTACCCACTTAGTATTATAACAGGTGGGACTACTGCCAAAATCATGGTTGCTGCAAAGGACAATTTCCTGGGAAAATACATCTACAAAGATACATTAGCTAGAAATCTTGCGGCAGTTATTTACAGAGTAAGCTCTCAATGCCCTGATTATCCCTTTCACTTGAACAAGACTCCATGTCTAAGCTTCTAAATTTTTGGCTTTGGTTAACTCTCTTTATTTGTGTCTGTGTAGGGAATTGGTAGGTTGATTTTCTTTGGTGCGTGAAAATTTGCTTTCTTACGTGCCTAGTCTGAGCACTATTTTTGGTTATCAAGATTTTCTTCTTCTAATGGATAAATTTCTTCACTTTAGTCC